CGTGCCCAGCTAATTTTTGTACATTTAGTAGAGATGGCGGGTTTCATCATGTTGGCCAGGCTTGTCTCGAATTCCTGACTTCAGGCGATTGCCTGCCTAGGCCTCCCAAAGTGCTTAGATTACAAGCTTGAGCCACCACCCCTGGCCTGTGTGTCTCTCTTTTTTTTTTAATGGCAACAAAATGTAGCTGGGTAGAGGGATTTCAGCCGTGTTTTCTCTTCCCCATTCTTTCCCAATTTTCCATTTCTTTTAAATAAATGCAAAAGTGAGGCTACAATTCTCGTTTTTATTCTTTTATTCTGTGATGACTGGAGAAGGGTCTCACCTGCCAGAGATCTGTGCAATTAAAAAAACCCACAGCTGAACCGCTCAGGGTCTGGCATTTTTTTTTTTTTTTTGAAAGGAAGTCTCGCTCTGTTGCCCAGGCTGGCCTGCAGATGGGCGATCTCCGCTCCCTGCAGCCCTGACCTCCCCGGCTCAAGTGACAGGCCCACCTCAGTCTCCCGAGTAGCTCGGACCACAGGCGCACAACATCATATCCGGCTAATTTTTTTTTTTCTTTTCTTTTTGAGATGGAGTCTTGCTCGTCGCCTAGGCTGGAGTGCAGTGGCGCGATCTCGGCTCACTGCAAGCTCCGCCTCCTAGGTTCATGCCATTCTCCTGTCTCAGCCTCCGGAGTAGCTGGGACTACAGGCATATCCGGCTAATTTTTAAATTTTTTGTAGAGATCGGAGTCTCGTTATGTTGGCCAGACTGGTCTCCAATTCCTGGGCTCAAGTGATCCTCCTGCCTTAGCCTCCCAAAGTGCTGGGATTACAAGTGTGAGTCACCGCCCCCGGCAGGGGGTTGACAATTTTTACAAAAATGTGGAACATTTGGGATTTTCATTTCTAAGATTATCCTCCTTGCGTCTCTCCCTGCTCCCCCACCACATAAAAAAAAACAAAAAACAAAAAACAAAAAACAAACAAAACGAAAGCCCTTTTATGACTACAAAACCCAAACGTCTCATCTGAGAGGTCACCACTCGGAAGGCACTGTCATGAGCTCTCAGACTTGCGATTCTTTAACCAGCATTCCTGAAACCTACGTGTCCTTAGGATTTTTCATTTTTTGGTTTCTACAAACAGCTTTTCAGGGAAGCTGGCTTTGGGGACGAGGCCTAAAGGAGGCACCAGAGGCAGAAAAGAGGGGCTCCTGCCGTCCTCCGTGGCGTCCCCACCCCCACCATCTCCCTGCAGCCTCGGCCTCCGCTTCCATCCCACCCGCTTAGCTTTGACCAGCTCGTAGGAGCGCGTCCCATGGTTGCCATGGAGACCGCCGGACTGCGGAGGCCACAAACTGCAAGAGGGAGGGGAGGGGCGGGGCCGTGGGAGGCCCGGGGGCTGAGCGCAGCGGCTGGGACCCAGCAAGGGAGAAAGAGGAGAAAAATCTAGCGAAGCCCAACGACCTGGCTCTGCAAGAGAAAAACAACCTGAATAAGCCAGTAATTGTGAACAGGCCGCTCGCTGAGACCTTAACTTCCCCTAAGCCGCACGTATCTTTTCTTACCCTCTCGCCCGTCTCTTTTTCCTCCGTTCCCTCTTTAAAAATTTGCCTGGCTCCTTTACGAGTTAAATAAGATAACATTTATTTATTTATTTATTTATTTATTATTTATTTATTTACTTATTTGAGACAGAGTTTTGCTCTGTCGCCCAAGCTGGAGTGCAGTAGCGCGATCTTGTCTCACTGCAACCTCCGCCTACTGGGTTCAACCAATTCTCCTTCCTCAGCCTCCCCAGCTGGGATTACAGGCAGGTGTCACCACGCCCGGCTAATTTTTGTATTTTGTTTGTTTCGTTTTGTTTTGTTTTTTGTTTTGTTTTTGAGACGGAGTTTCGCGCTTGTTGCCCAGGCTGGAGTGCAATGGCACAGTGTCAGCTCACTGCAACCTCTGCCTCCCAGGTTCAAGCGATTCTCCTGCCTGAGCCTCCCGAGTAGCTGGGATTACAAGCATGCGCCACCATGCCAGGCTAATTTTGTATTGTTAGTAGAGGCGGGGTTTAACCATGTTGGCCAGGCTGGTCTCGAACTCCTGACCTCACATGATCCACCCGCCTCAGCTTCCCAAAATGCTGGGATTACAGGCGTGAGCCACCGCGCCCGACATTTTTTAATTTTTTTAGTACAGATGGAGTTTTGCCGTGTTGGCCAGGCTGGTCTCAAACTCCTGACCTCAGGTGATCCATCCGCCTCAGCCTCCCAAACTGCTGGGATTAAAGGCGTGAGCCATGGCGCCCAGCCTGAGATAGAGAATTTTCAAAAGAGTAGAGACAGATCGGACCTAAGTTTTTAAAAGATGCCCCAGCTTCTGGGTGGGGCCTGGATTGCAAGCAGTGATGGGGAGGCAGGGAGCCCAGTAAGGGGGATTTGTACACATCCAGGCAAGAAAGCCTGCAAGTATTATGGCTGTTAAGGGGTTAAATGGTTCAACGCATTTAGGAGAATGAGATTAGCTGTGTCTTTAGCGTCTGCTACGGTTTATGCTAGTGCCCAAGATCTGGTTCTAATATTAGATCCACCACTCGGAGCTGTGCAACTTCAGACCGGCCTCAGTTTCCCCATCTGTAAAAAGATGATTGATGGCACTGGCCTTATTACCATGTACCTCTGAGGATTCCTAACAAGGAGGCCTATTCAGCATATCTCTTGCTGCCTGGTTCCAAAGATGTGGACCAATGCTAGTCGCAAGTACTGTAGCAGGAGGAGCTTCCGACAAAACCCCTCAAACACCGGGTTAAGGAAGGATTTGGCTTTATTCGGAGGGGAGCTTCAGCAGACTCGCCTCTCCACTGCCGGAAGCTTCAGTAGACTTGCGTCTCAAGAACCGAGCTTACTAGCATTGGTCCACATCTTGACTGTGTGTGTTTTGTTTTTTTTTGTTTGTTTGTTTAGATGGAGTCTCGCTCTGTCGCCCAGGCTGGAGTGCAGTAGTGCGATCTCGGCTCACTGCAACCTCGGCCTCCCGGGTTCAAGAGATTCTTCTGCCTCAGCTTCCAGAGTAGCTGGGACTACAGGCACATACCACCACACCTGGCTAATTTTTTTGTATTTTTAGTAGAGACGGGGTTTCACCGTGTTAGCCAGGATGGTCTTGATTTCCTGACCTCGGAATCCGCCTGCCTTGGCCTCCCAAAGTGCTGGGATTACAGGTGTGAGCCACCATGCCCGGCCATCTTGACTCTTTGGTGGGCACAAAAGGCAGACTATTCTGGATTCAAATCCAAACTCAACCACTCCCCCTGGCTGTGACCTTGAAAGAGTGGTTTTATGTCCTTGGGCATCAGTTTCTTCAGCTGTCTAATGGGAGTTGTACTCATGCTACCAGTCTCCTGCTATAGCAAGGATTTCCTGAGTTCATTCATAGAAAGCACTGGGAATGGTGCCTACTACACAGGAAGCGCCTCATAAACCGTGCCTATCCTTAGCTATCTCATTCTTTTTTCAAAGTTGCAAAATATTTCACTGTAAGATACTACCATAAAATAGAGGCAGTCTCTACTCATGAACTTTTAGAGGTTTTTGTTGTTGTTTATTTGTGGGTTTTTTTGTTTTTGTTTTTTGGCACTTTTGTTTTTTTGAGACAGAGTCTCCCTCTGTTGCCCAGGCTGGAGTGCAGTGGCACCATCTCTGCAACCTCCACCTCCTGGGCTCATGCCATTCTCCTGCCTCAGCCTCCCGTGTAGCTGGGACTACACACGCACACCACCACACCCGGCTAATTTTTGTATTTTTTGTAGAGACGAGGGTTTCACCATGTTGGCCAGGCTGGTCTCGAACTCCTGGCCTCAAGTGTTCCACCCGCCTAGGCCTCCCAAAGTGCTGGGATTACAGGCATGAACCCCAGCGCCTGGCTATGAACATTCAAGTTTATTCATCCACTCAAAATATGTACAGCCCTGACCTCCTGCCAAGCGCCACAGGGGGACTGTTGCAATAAGATCCCGGTACCCATTTCTCTACCCACGCGTCTGGGTGTACGGGTACGGATAGTCGCGTGAATTTAAAATGCTAATCTATGGTGCCAGTGGCTCTCAAAAGGTAGAATCCACTGGCACACCCACCTCCAGGACTTGGCTGGAAACTTGCACATTTCGGATGGCAGGTTTGGGAACCGCTGCCTTTCTGCAAAGGTGCTGACGTGGGCCACCGCCGCTTCGCTGGGAAGCAATGGGCCCAGCTAGGCCCCAGGCGCGGCCACACCCCTGTGGGGGAGGGGAAGGAGGCTGCCCCGAAGGGAGTGGACAGCCCCCCTGTCAGTCTTCCAGAGTCTGGGAGTGTAAGATGAGACGGGGGAAGGTGGGCCTCATTCTGGCGGAGGGCAAGGAGGAACTTCCTGCTGGTGCGCTCCACCGTGCAGAGCCCTAAGCGCGCGGGCTGGCAGGCTGCGGCGCGTCAAGGTCAGCCTGGAGCTGGGTGGTGGCCTGCCTGGGGGCGGGGGACCCTACTGGGGGGCCGGGCTGAGGCCTCTCAGCGCCTCCGCCATATTGAATAGCCTCGACTGGACCGTCTTTGTCTGCGAAGTCCTCTCCCAAGTTCCAACCGCGTCCCAGGGGCCTGGGGCAGGAAGAATCGCTGGCAGCCCGCGCGCCACAACTTGGAGCTGGGACACCACGTTTCCAGCTTGGAGTGGGCCTTGAACCTTGGGACTGACCTCGCCCCCGGCTCACGTAGGCATCCTGGAAATTGATTCTCCCAAGTTCTTGGTGGAGGAGCCGGACTTGGTCAAGACTGGACTTGTTGCAGGAGAAGAGATTGGAGGCGTTGGCTCGTCCCTGGCTGGGGAGGTGAGACTCTGCGGTCAGCGTTGCTGGGACTCCCCCCATCCAGTCCCTCCCTCAAGACTAAGGGCTACAGTAGTTTGTTGGGGCTCTTTGCTCCCTCACCCCAGATATCACCCTGGAGATCTTAAAGACTCTCGAGAAAAGCCACGTGGGGGGCTGGTTCCCCTGGGGCTTCCTCCCGTCCCCCGACTGCCTCATTCTTTGGAGCGTCCCCGATGTCTGCAAAGATGTGGATTTGGACGTCCTCGTGGAAGCCCTAAAACCCGTGGGAACATTTAAGAAGATCGGCAAGGTGTTCCGCAAGGAGGAGGACTCCACGGTGGGGATGCTGCAGATCGGGGAGGACGTCGACTATTTGCTCATCCCCCGGGAGGTCAGGCTGGCCGGGGGCGTCTGGAGAGTCATCTCTAAGCCTGCCACCAAGGAAGCAGAATTTCGGGAGCGGCTGACCCAGTTCCTGGAAGAACAGGGCCGCACCCTGGAGGACGTGGCCCGCATCATCGAGAAGAGCACCCCGCACCCGCCCCAGCCCCCCAAAAAGCCCAAGGAGCCCCGAGTGAGGAGGAGAGTGCAGCAGATGGTGACTCCTACGCCCCGGCTGGTCGTGGGCACGTATGACAGCAGCAACGCCAGCGACAGCGAGTTCAGCGACTTCGAGACCTCCAGAGACAAGAGCCGCCAGGGCCCGCGGCGGGGCAAGAAGGTGCGCAAAATGCCCGTCAGCTACCTGGGCAGCAAGTTCCTGGGAAGCGACGTGGAGAGCGAGGATGATGAGGAACTGGTGGAGGCATTTCTCCGGCGACAGGAGAAGCAGCCCCCCGCGCCGCCTGCCCGCCGCCGCGTCAACCTGCCAGTGCCCATGTTTGAGGACAACCTGGGACCTCAGCTGTCCAAGGCGGACAGGTGGCGGGAGTATGTCAGCCAGGTGTCCTGGGGGAAGCTGAAGCGGAGGGTGAAGGGTTGGGCGCCGAGGGCGGGCCCCGGGGTGGGCGAGGCCCGGCTGGCCTCCATCCCAGTGGAGAGCGCAGAGGTATCCTCCGGCACCAGCCCCGGGGATCCCGGGGATCCTGTGGAAAATGTGGGAGATGTCTGTGCCCCGCAGGCCTCCCCTAGGCGATGGAGGCCCAAGATCAACTGGGCCTCGTTTAGGCGCCGCAGGAAGGAGCAGACAGCGCCCACAGGTCAGGGGGCAGACATCGAGGCTGATCAGGGGGAAGAGGCTGCAGATAATCAGAGGGAAGAGGCCATAGCTGACCAGAGGGAAGAGGCTGCAGGTAATCAGAGGGAAGAGGCCATAGCTGACCAGAGGGAAGAGGCTGCAGGTAATCAGAGGGAAGAGGCCATAGCTGACCAGGGGGAAGAGGCTGCAGGTAATCAGAGGGAAGAGGCCATAGCTGACCAGAGGGAAGAGGCTGCAGGTAATCAGAGGGAAGAGGCCATAGCTGACCAGGGGGAAGAGGCTGCAGCTAATCAGAGGGAAGAGGCCATAGCTGACCAGGGGGAAGAGGCTGCAGGTAATCAGAGGGAAGAGGCTGCAGATAATCAGAGGGAAGAGGCCATAGCTGACCAGGGGGAAGAGGCTACAGATAATCAGAGGGCAGAGGCCCCAGCTGACCATAGGCCACAGGGTGCAGATAACCTGAGGGAAGAGGCCCTAGCTGACCAGGGGTCAGAGGCTACAGATCCTCAAAGGGAAGAGGCCATACATGACCAGAGGGAAAGGGCCCCAGCTGTCCAGGGTGCAGGTAATCAGAGGGCACAGGCCCGGGCTGGCCAAAGGGCAGAGGCTGCACATAATCAGAGGGCACGGGCCCCAGGTATCCAGGAAGCTGAAGCCTCAGCTGCCCAAGGGGCCACAGGAACAGCTTCAGGAGCCAGGGCCCGGAAACAGGTCAAGACAGTGAGGTTCCAGACCCCTGGACGCTTTTCGTGGTTTCGCAAGCACCGGAGAGCCTTCTGGCACACTCCCCGGTTGCCAACCCTGCCCAAGAGAGTCCCCAGGGCAGGCGAGGCCAGGAGCCTCAGGGTGCTGAGGGCCGAGGCCAGAGCAGAAGCTGAACAGGGAGAGCGAGAAGACCAGCTGTGAGGCGAGGGCTAGAGACAGCCCACGGGCCCTCCCTACAAGCGTGGGAGAGAAAGTTGCTCTTTCTGCCTCTGAACTTGAAAGTGGAGTTGGAGTGCTGCCCACATCTCCACCTTACAACCCTCTTTATTCTCTTGTTAAAGTTTTGTCTCATGCGTTGATTTTTAAAAAGTTTTTTAGAGACAGGGTCTCACTCTGTTGCCCAGGCTGGAGTGCAGTGGCATGATCACTGCAGCCTCAAACTTCTGGCCTCAAGTGATCCTCCTGCCTCGGCCTCCCAAAGTGCTGGGATGACAGGTGTGAGCCACCACGCGTACCACCTGATAAAAAATATATATATATATATATATACTGATTCCTTGTAGCAACCCAAAAAATGTAAAGAAAGAATTCGATACAAGGGGGTTCCGTCATCTATAGTTTTAATTTCCTCAAATGCAACTCAAGGTGCTCAGCTTGATAAAAGGAGAGCGGGAGGGCAGGGGAGAAATTGCCTGCTTTTCCTGTCCCTTTTTTGCCTGCACACTTAACGTGGACTGCCTCCTTGGACTTAAAAAGAGGACTTGAGCCAACATGCAAATAAAAAAACATTTATGAACTGGTTTCTTAGCTTTGGACTTGGCAACTGACGAATGCTCTGGGGGTGACCCGGCCCTTCCTGTCCGTTCTACTCCCATCCTTGAAGATGGAGACACCTGTGTTTATGTTGTCACTTCGCTTGCCATCCTCATGCCCCTGGACTCCGCTGCTTTGGAGGGGACAGGGCCCTTGGTTTGCATACCTCTCCCGATCTTGGTTGTAAGGTACAGTAAAAGCATCTGAAAAATGCGTTCAAAACACAGATTCTGGGGCCCTCAGCATCAGAGATGTGGATTTGCTAGCGGTGCCTGTGTGGCTCTGAATTCTGTTTGCATCAAGCTTCCAAACATCTGGGCAATTTGGCCACTGGACACATTGAAAACTCATTGCAATAAGAAAAGGCCTAAAAGAGGGGCTGTGGTTGGCCGGACGTGGTGGCTCACGCCTGTAATCCCAGCACTTAGGGAGGCCGAGGCGGGTGGATACAAGGTCAAGAGATCAAGACCATCCTGGCCAACATGGTGAAACCCCGTCTCTACTAAAAATACAAAAATTAGCCTGGCCTGGTGGCGCATGCCTGTAGTCCCAGCTACTCGGGAGGCTGAGGCAGGAGAATCTCTTGAACCCGGAAGGTGGAGGTTGCAGTGAGCCGAGATCGCACCATTGCACTCCAGCCTAGTGACAGAGTGAGACTCTGTCTCAAAAAAAAAAAAAAAAAAAAGGCTGTGTGTATTGTGCATTAATTGCTTGTGCATTAATTGCTGCTGCTGCTTCTTTTTTTTTTGAGATGAAGTCTCTGTCACCCAGGCTGGAGTATGGTGGCGCGGTCTCGGTTCATTGCAACCTCCACCTCCCGGGTTCAAGTGATTCTCCTCCCTCAGCCTCCCGAGTAGCTGGGACTACAGGCGTGTGCCACCACACCTGGTTAATTTTTGTATTTTTAGTAGAGATGGGGTTTCACCATGTTGGCCAAGCCTGTCTTGAACTCCTAACCTCAACTGATCCGCCCACTTCGGCTTCCCAAAGTGCTGGGATTACAGGCATGAGCCACTGCGCCCAGCCAACTGCTTCCTATGATTGGGAAGAAATTGGGTTGCTAAGGCCCTGTGGAGGTTGGGAGGAAGCTGGGGGCCTCTCTCTGTATTGCCTTGTGTCCCCACAACCCCTAGCAGTGAAAAACAGCAAATGACCAGACTCTAGCCTTGCTGAGGGCAGGAGAAAAGGGAGTTCATGGAGGTCCAGGGGCCAGTCTGTCTTCCTAACTGGTTGCAGGCCTGGCCTAAGTTTCTTATTTTTTTTCTCTGGAAAGTAAAGAATTGTATCCCACCACCCTCCTTTTGTCTTTCTCTCTTCCACGCTTCTCCCTCCCTCCCTTCCTTCCCCTCCTTCCCCTCCCTCCCTCCCTTCATCTTTCTCTTTCTCCCTACCTCCCTCCCTTCCTCCCTCCCTTCCTTCCTCCCTTCCTTCCTCCCTTCCTTCCTGTTTTCCTTCCTTCCTTCCTTCCTTCCTTCCTTCCTCCCTTCCTTCCTTCCTTCCTCCTTCCCTCCCTCCCTCCCTCTCTCCCTCTCTCTCTCTCTTTCTCTTTTATTTCTTTCTGTCTCTCTCTCTTTCTCTCCTTTCTCTTTCTCTCTCTCTCTTTTCTTTCTTTCAAGGCAGTGTCTGGCTCTGTCACCCAGGCTGGAGTGCGGTATTGCAATCACGGCTCACTTGCACTCCTGGGATCAAGCGATCCTCTGGCCTCGGCTTCCGAGAGCACTGGGATGATGGGAGTGAGCCCCTGCGCCCCACCCCAGCTCTTTTCTGAGTGGAGTGGTTACTGCTGGTGCTGCTTGCTGCCTGGCGTGCTGCATGGCCTTGCGAGAGCCCTTTTGTGCATGGTGGTGGATACTTGGCCGTGTAGTCCACGGCTCACAGCCTGGCAAGAATGAGGCCCTGGGGAAAATACAAGCTGTGGACCTCACCTGGAGGGGAGGCTTTGCAGGTGCAGGGAGGCGGAGAGGCTGGGTGGGAAGGTTCTGGTTGGTGGTGGGGAGGGAGGCTGTCCTTTGCTGCTGCCCACCTCAGAGGGCAGAGGTACGTGACCACGGGGACCTGGCCTGCCTGAGGAGCTAGAAGGTAAAAGAACAGCAGAGACAGATGCTCGGAGGGATTTGGAGACCGGAGGAGCAAACAGCAGAACGCAGGAAATGAAGACTCAGAGTGAGTTTCTCTGCTCCTCCTCCCTGCAGTGCCCAGAGCTGTGGGCTGTCTCCGGGGAACAGCGGGGGGCCTATGAGAAGGAAAGCGGTGTGGACCCCAAACAAGTGGCAAGATGGATTTAACATGGAGTTGTGTGGATTTCACAGACATCAAGCAACACTGGGCCAGTCCCTCTCACTGCCACACACGTGTGTACACACACATATACACATGCACAGTCGGACCCAGGCACGCAGGCACAGCACATACCACAGACACATGTACACACACAGGCACCACTGGCAGACCACATTCACCAACAGACATTATGATGAACCTGCCCATACATAGACACAGACACGGACACACACGTGTAGCACACACACGTACTCACACAGGCACACAGATCCACTGCTCCGGGAAGGCGACCCCCACACACCCACAGACCCATTCACGCAAACACTGCCGTACTTGCAAATGCCAATGTGTTCACTCACTCAGGACACGTCACACACTGCTAGATGCCATTGGACACTTTGATCCCCTCAGCCACATGGGCACACTCACATGTTATCACACAGAAACTCAAACGCCAGTCAGTCACAGACAGATGCTTGCAGAAACAGTCTCACACTCGGGCGCGGGGGCTCACACCTGTAATCCCAGCATTTTGGGAGGCCGAGGTGGGTGGATCACCTGAAGTCGGGAGTTCGAGACCAGCCTGGCCAACATGGTGAAACCCTGTCCGTTCTAAAAATACAAAAAATTAGCTGAGCGTGATGGTGCATGCCTGTAATCCCGGCTACTCAGGGCTGAGGTAGGAGGAGAATCGCCTGAACCCGGGAGGCGGAGGTCGTGGTGAGCTGAGATTGCGCTATTGCACTCCAACCTGGGCAACAAGAGTGAAACCCTGACTCAAAAAACAAAACAAAACAAAAACAAACAAACAAAAAAACAGTTTCACACCGTCTCCCTGGGTTGGTTTGTTTTAGACAGAGTCTCCATCACCCGGGCTGGAGTGCAGTGGCACGATCTCAGTTCACTGTATCCTCTGCCTCCTGGTTCAAGCGATTCTCACGCCTCCTGAGTCTTATTTGTATACCCGGCCATCCCTGGGTCTTATTTGCATAGCCTTTCTGGGTGGCCTTGAGGCTTTGGGCAAGTCTGTCCCCCACTGAGTCAAAATTTGTTCCCCCTCGAATGAACACAACGTTTTCTGAACTCCTGTTCCCAGCATCCCCACCGCGAGCATTCGGGGAGGCCCCAGAGGTGGGGGGAGCCCTCTAGTAACTGAGACAGAACAGGGTGTTCAGTATTAGATTTCATCCCAGGGGCCTTGAAACAGCGTCTGCAGGGCCAGTCAGTCCCTTGATGCCTCTGGCGTGTGGTTTCAAATGCACAAAGGTTTCCAAGAGGAAGCCCAAAAAACCACAGGTTGGGTTCTGAATCCACCTTCATCTGGACCAGTCCAGCTGCTCCTCATTGTCACCAAAGAGGAAAATAAGAGGCCACAGGTGATTCCAGAACACAGACATGGAGGGGAGGGATGCCACTCTAAGACATGGGGGTAGAGGGGCTGGGTACAGTGGCTCACTCCTGTAATCCCAGCACTTTGGGGGGTCGAGATGGGTAGATCACTTGAGGTCAGGAGTTTGAGACCAGCCTGGCCAACATAGCGAAAACCCGTCTGTACTATAAATACAAAAATTAGCTGGGCGTGGTGGCAGGTGCTTGTAATCCCAGCTACCTGGGAGGCTGAGGCATGAGAATTGCTTGAACCCAGGAGGCGGAGGTTGCAGTGAGCTGAGATTGCACCACTGCACTCCAGCCTAGGCGACAGAGCGAGATTCTGTCAAACAAACAAACAAAAGACACGGGGGTGGAAGGATTTCTGATTTCTGAGTCCCCCTCCCAGGCCCACAGGGTGTGACAGGAGAAGAGGAAATGGTTGGGTACTGGGTGAAGAGAAATTTGGAGCTCGGCTGCCTGGCTGCCCCAGCACCGCCCCTTGCAAGCTGTGTGACCTTGGGCTGGTTACTTGACCTCTCTGTGCCTCCATGTCCTCATGGGAAAGGGGGATCATAGCAGAGCTTTCCTTCCAGCATTGCTCAGGGTACTGAAAAGGGTGTGATGTGTTCGTGCTCAAATCAACCCTAGGAGACATCATCTCGTCTTATTCCTGCTACATATCAGCGGCGGCCAGTTATTCACTGCACATGCTGGCCTTGACAGAGACCCTAGGGTAGCAGTCCCCGCCCGGGCTGCCCCTGGAATGGCCCAGAGCCCTTGTCCAGCATGCACACAGGAGCCACTCTTGGAATCTCGGGATGGTGCAGAGCACCGCTGGGGCAGCAACAGTCCCTAAAGCTTCCCAGGTGATTCCCAGCAATGGGCAGCCGGGGCTGACAACCACGACCCTAGGGATCCTAGAGACCATCAGACCCCACAGCTGGGGTCTCAGACTGTGATTCCGGAGCGTTTCTCTAGCTGGTCCCGTATCGCAGGTGCCTGGGGGGGTCCTTTGAAAACTCAGCTTTCTGGGCTCCCGGCCCAAAGGGGTTCTGTAGGTCTCGGGTGGGCCGGATAATGTGTATCTAGTTCCCAGGAGACGTTGACGCATCTGGTCCAGGACCTGACTTTGAGAACCGCTGTCCTGCTGCTTTCTGCAGCCTAGCGTTGAAAGGCCAGGGAAAACTTCGGCATTTCCAGTGCTCGGGAAAAACCATCGCCAGCACGATTTAATATTTATTTGTTTATTTTATTTATTTATTTGTATTTATTGTTGTATAGACGAGAGGCGGGGAGCGGGGGTTGAGGGTGGGTCAGTATTTTGCTCAGGCCGGTCTTGAACTCCTGGCCTCCAGCCATCTCTTCCCGCACGATTTTTACCAGCGGCCCTGGAGCGCCTCTTGGTGGTTAAATGGGGCGCTGCAGCTCCTGCGCGTTGACATGCTCTCTGCATATCTAGATGTAGGAGATGTGGCCTCCTATGCAAGGGGCGGAGACTGCGCTGGGGAGGGCGGGGCCTCGGTGGAAACCGGGTCTGGGGAACCGGATGGGGGTAGAGAGTGTCGTTTTCTGTCCCCGGAACCCAGACTTCTCCCTCCCTCCAGCAGCTGGTCATATCCCTAGGAGTTTTAGGGCGCCCTGTCTCTGAGCTGGCTCCGGGATCGGCGGGGTTCAGGATCCAGATCCCTGCCCGGGCCCGCTCTTTGAAAGTCTACGCGGCCGAACCTCCCCCAGGCGCCCCAGCGAACTCTGCAAGCTCATTTCCAGGCTGCCTCACTTTAAAACTCCAGGCACGTGGGAATCCAACCCGACAGCGACCACCATGGAGGCAGGTGGCCTTCTTTGGCGCCACTGCCTCCCCTACGCCAGCACCGAGCCTGGCACGGGAGGGGCAGTAGTCACACATTAATAACCCCCTATTATCACACCCACTTGGGGCTTTTAACCTGGCTCTTCCTGCATCTCCCGTCATGCGCTTCCCCCAGGCATCTGCTGGCCCCTCACCTCCTTCGGGTCTTTGCTTACTTGGCACCTTCTCAGTGAGGGTTTTCCAGGCCGCCCCGTTTCCAATGACTGCAAACCCTCTCCTGCCCCGACCCTCCTCGGGCCCTGCCTGCCAGACTTTTGTCCCCAGCAGGCCTCACTCCCTAATGCATGGATTTCGTCTTCATCTAGGAGGCATACCCACTGCCTCCCCTCCGCATGCTCGCTCTAGGAGGTTCCTGTTTCTTGCACCTACAACAGGACCTGGGAACCCCCAGGACCCTTCCTTGCGAGACCTCAGGGCCTTTACGCGGCCACTCTTTCGATCTCAAACGCTCCTCCCCACTCCCTGGGCGCACTCCCTCCAGGGGGCGTATCTTTCCAGCACATTCCCCAGTAGGCGCATCTGGGGTCAGCCTTCCCCAGTCCAGGTGATTTCTATCGACCGTCAGTAGTCAACAAATAACTGAGCAGTTGCTGGGGCCGGGAACACCTCGGGGACCGGTCAGAGCTGACCTTGAGGGACTCTACTGCCTCTCCCCGCCACGCCCACCTGCCCCCTGCGGGGTAGGACCCCGCAACCACAACTCCAGAGTCCTCTGCAGGGACTGCTGTTGCTATGGGAGAGGAAGCCAGAGGAAGGGGACGCCATCTAGGGGATACTTGGGCCGTGGTGGCAGCAGCAGCAGTGACGGCCACCGCTGCGAACCAGGGGCTCCTGCCTGGCCAGCGCAGCCACCTGGGCTCTGGGCAGCAGCATTTTCCACGTGGCTCCTCCAATCCTCACGAGCGAGCAGTTCCCTGCATTGCTAGTCGTGAGCCCACCTGACTTCCTACTCTCAGCGCTTCCTGATTGCAACGCCCGTGTCACCAATTTCCTCTATTAACCTCCCTGACAAGTCGGCGTGCTATTGAGAAACAAATGAGCGCACCAGGGGCAATCAGAGCTCTGAAAAATAAAGCGAGCAAGCGCAGAAAAGGTTACTTTTTTTTTTTCTTTTTGAGGCGGGGTCTTGCTCTATCACCCAGGCTGGAGTGCAGAGGCACGATCTCCGCTCACTGCCCCTCTGCCTCCCGGATTCAAGCAATTCTCGTGCCTTAGCCTCCCGAGTAGCTGGGATTACAGGTAGGCGCCACCACGCGTGGCTAATTTTTGTATTTTTAATAGAGATGGGATTTCTCCATGTTGGCCAGGCTAGTGTCGAACTCCTGGCCTTAAATGATCCACCCGCCTCGGCCTCCCGCAGTAGATTACAGGCGTGAGCCACCGCGTCGGGCCCGTGTGATTTTATTTTAACACAGATAACTAACTGTCTTTGAGTTAGAGACAGGACTTTGGGGCCCAGAAGAGGTGGGAACTCCAAGGGGTTGAGAGAGGAGAGCCTGGGTCCACAGAGGAGGTCTGGAGGGGAGCGTCCACCACGTTATTTGAGGATTCAGCAGGCAGGGCCTTAAGAGCAGCTCCACGCCCCAACAAGAGAGAAACTGCCCCAAATGGGTCGTCAGGACAGCTCTGGGAAACGGGCCCAAGAAAACTCCTTTAAACATCCCTGTTTCACTGACAGGAAGACTTCGGCCCAGAGTGGACGGGAAACAGAGAAGCGTAAGCCTCAAATGGTTAGAATGGTAGCTGAGACCAAATTTTGAGAATTGAAAATGTTTGCATACCATACAAATGAAAATCAGAAAAATATATGGGGATTGGCAAAAGGGCATCCTCTTTCCCCAACACTTTGCCGCCATCTGCTGGACGAGTGTTGTAATGACTATAAAACACCGTGGTGCTGCAGCGCCCCCTAGCGCCATGCAGTTCACAGGCACGGAACAGTTCCAAGAGAATTTTTTTTTCCCACCGGGACGTTTCTGAGTTTATTTGGGGCTCAGAATAACCTAGAAGAAGGTGTTGGGCCTCTTGGTGGTGAAGCGTGGCTTGTGCTGACGGCGCAGGACCCGGTAGGGCAGCGGGAACTTGATCTTGGAGTCGTGGAAATGCTTGACAGCTGGCCGACGGCACTTGCTGGCTGCAATCTCCTCCACCTTCATGATCTGAATGGAGTGGGCCCGGGCGCGGTGCCGGGCGCCCGTATCTCGGTAGCACTGGGTGACAGCACCCGCAGTGGTCAGCTTCCGGTACTCCCGGTACGTGTTGTGGGTGCCGCTCCGGGAGTCACAGCGCAGCCAGATGCCGAAGTTCTTCACCGGCAGGGGGCGCGTCTCAAACACCTGCCCACAGTAGACAGTCTCCCCTGAAGACTTCTTCATCTTCTTTAACTGAGATACGAAGTACCAGAAGCGGGACTTGGCGACGACATGATTAGGCCCCAAGATTTGCATGCGGTAGAGGGGTGGTGTGTGGCATTTGGGGTGCGCAGGCAGCGACCACCACCTTGTACTCTCGTAGGGTGCCCGAAGCCTTCATGGCGTCCTCTCCGCGCTCGCCGCCACCCGCAAAAGCGAGAATTTTCTTTTTTTGAGACGGAGTCTCGCTCTGTAGCCCAGGCTGGAATACAGTGGAGCGATCTCGGCTCGCTGCAACCTCCGCCTCCTGGGTCCGGGTTCAAGCAATTCTGCCTCAGCCTCCTGAGTAGCTGGGATTACAGGCACCTGCCACCACGCCCAGCTAATGTTTTTGTATTTTTAGTAGAGACGGGGTTCCACCAGGTTGGCCAGGCTGGTGTTAAACTCCTGACCTCTGATCCGCCCACCTTGGTCTCCCAAAGTGCTGGGATTACAGGCGTGATCCACCCCGCCCGGTGGAGAAATCTTAAAAGACCGCTAACAAAAATGCTTTGAGGCCGGGCGTGGTGACTCACACCTGTAATCCCAGCACTTTGGGCAGTCGAGGCGGGCAGATCACGTGAGGTCCGGAGTTCGAGACCAGCCTGACCAACAAGGTGAAACCCCGTCTCTACTAAAAATACAAAAATTAGCTGGGCATGGTGGCACACGCCTGTAATCCCAGCTACTCAGGAGGCTTGAACCCGGGAGGCAGAGGCTTCAGTGAGCCGAGATCGCGCCACTGCACTCCAGTCTGGGCGACAGAGCGAGACTCCATCTCAGGGGGAAAAAAAAAAAATGCTTTGAGAGCTGCACAGCTCTGGGGGAAGTCGTGAGTTTTCTATTCAGGGGTAAGGTTAGGGACCATCCATGTACTAAAAAGGGAAAAATCAGATTAACCAGGCAGGATAAATTCTTGCCATCATAAAATTTTTGTTTGCTAAAAGGGGTCAAAAGCTTTTCCCCAGATATTATTTTAGCATTTGGCATCAAAGGGCTGTTGCGAAGACCCTAAGTGCCTGCAAACCGCCTGACACGTAAAGCGCTCACTGCTACTGCAAACTGGTTCAGGGCACAGACTGCAGCCAGTCAGCTGGTGCTCAAGTCCCGTTCTGCCACTTGCTGGCTGTGTGACTCTGAGTATGTAACTTAACCTCTCTGTACTTCAACTTGCTTATCTGCAAAATGGGCATCTGAAAAGTGTCTGACTGAGTTGGAATGCAATGTTAATGCGTGTAAACTCTTAGAACAGAGCCAAGGGGCCAGGCGTGGAAAACCACCCTGCTGCTCCTCGACTTATCCTGAGATGGGTGCCCACCCTGCCCCTCCCGGTCCCTTCAGGTTTTAACTGGTTCCACACGTTTTCCAGTGTCCAAATTCCTCACCCTGGCTCCCCACATCTGCTGGACCACGGAGATGAGAGCCACAGGAGGGTGTGGGCAGAGGGAACCATGGGCCCAGTTTCTCCATCTGCCAGGTGTGGTGCTGGCAAGGAGGGGTGGGGTGGTGGCCTGTCCCTCTGGCTGCCAAGCAAATGACACCCCCCATAGGTGGGAGGCAGCCCCCGCCCCCCTTCACTGGTGTTATGGAGGTTAGGTCATCTCTCTGCCTGCCCTGGTGGCCAGAACTTGGGTCTGTGACCTAATCATGGCCATTGACAGATGGGGGCCGGGGAAGACAGCATGAAAGGGACCAAGAGAACGACAGGGAGACAGAACTCGGGTCCTTCCTGCCTTGGAGTCTCTGCTCCATCCAGCTGGGTGGATGCCTGGGTCCATCCTGGTCGATAGGGTGGGGAGCATCTAAGGCCTCCCCCTCCCCCGGGTTCTCTGGTCTTTACTTCACAGCTTCCTTAGTCGGTGGTGAGGCTTCTTAGGACCCCTAATTCATGTCCACCACTCCTGGGAGTTCACATCTGCTCCTGCCAGACCCTGAGACTCCCCAGCAGCCTCCGACACCATTGCTTAGTGTCCACACCTGCCCCCAGCATCTCCCCCACCTCCGTGTACCTGGCACGTCCCCAGCTTGATGACCCTGATCCAAACTGTAAGCTGTCCCCTACTTCAGCAGACTCCTGTGCTCCAGCGATCCACATGCCTCTGCCTTCCCAAGTGCTGGGATCACAGGCGTGAGCCCCTGTGCCCGGCCAGCCCTGAATGTTCATCACCTGCCTCTACGGGCGTCTCTCGGTCACACTCCCTTTTGGAAGCTACTGTTTCTTTTTTGTTCAATTCATTGCCTCTAACTTCAGAGCCTTACTCACGTGTATTTATCCCCCTTGATTCCCCAAAACTTATCGGCTTACCCAGACCTTCCCCCATTAAATGCTTTCGCTCCCTCCCATATCCCTTCCGTTTCCCTGAGCCCAGCTCTGTGGCATTGATCTGCTCAAAGTTCTGGTCCTTCTGGTGGGTGTGCCTGAGTCTCTTTGTTCTGACTTTACCGAGACATTGGTCGCTGTAAAGACCCCATGTCTTGCAGCATCTTCTGAATTTCTCTTCTCGTTTAAAAACTTCCTCCAATAGCCACTTGGAAAAAGATAAAATGAGACCCATTCCTCACATCACATACAAGAAGGAACTCCAAATAGACTGGAGATCTTGACATGAAGAAGAAACCCGAGGGAACTTCCCTGAAACCCAGGTGTGGGGAGAAGCACCGGCTCCCACGCCAGCACAATTAAAGAAATACTGATACATTTGGCTTCATAAAAATAAGCCTGTACCGTGGCAGCAAACCACAAGTGAAGTCTAAAGATAAAAGACAGTCTGGGATATAGACTTTCAAGTGGTTAAGGTGGTACAGTTTATGTGATGTGCTTTTCACCACCATTTAACAAAGAAGGACAGAATGGGGGAAAATGATCCGCAACATACATCACAAGCATGGGGCCTCTGCTGTGTCCCCTCCGAGGTGCTCCCACTGGACAGCCCGGCCACACCCAACGGGGAGGAGACGGCGGCCAGACAGGGAGCACTCTTCAGTCTCGGGGAGGGGGAGGAGCGTGATCGTCACAAACGTCCATGTCAAAGACAAAGAGGGGCTGAGGAAATGTTGCAGATTGAAGGAAATGAAAGAGACAATTGAATGTGAGGCAGGACATTGCTGAGGCAAGTGCTACAGCTGGAATGCAGTTGGTTGATTTAAATATAAACATTGAATGCTCCCTTGAGGGACCCAGCTGCCACGGGGAGAGCAGCTCAGGCCACATGGAGGCCACACGCAGGCGCCCCAGTGCCAGCCCAGCTAACGGCCCACAGCAACTGCAGTCACGGGAGTCAGCCCCCATGGAGTCCAGCCGGGCGAGCCTCCAGATGCCTCCAGCCCTCAGCTGCGCCCCGCACAGCCAAGCCCAGCCAATCACAGAACTGAGGAAGACAGCAAGGCGTTCATTGTGTAAGCCGGTGAGGGTTAGGGGGTGTGCTATGCAGCTGTGCAGCACGGGAGTAGCCTTGACTAAAGAAAAGGCTGGCTCCTGGAGGTCACCTGGGAGCCCGTGGCGTGTCCTCCCTGATAGGAACGTCTCTTTTATCTGGGGCCCTGGGCCACAGTGGACAGTCTATGCTAAGGACGTGATTTAGGGTGGGGGCCGTGGGTCTCTCTGGAGGCTACGGTCAACCATGTGGGGTGAGCAGTCCCCATGACCAACCCCTGAAGAAAACCCTGGATGCAGAGGCCCGGGTGAGCTTCCCTAGGTGACCACACTCCAGTACGCTGTTGCATCCACACGCGGAAAATGAGCGCCGTCCACACGACTCCACAGGAGAGGGCAGCAGGACACTCACGCCCGCCTCTTCCCTCCGCTCATTCTCACCCCCGTCTTTTCACTGTAATGGACCCTAACTGTGAGGATAATAGCTGCTCTGGGTCCCGGGAGACCTCCTGAACTGCAGCGGCAGGGAACCCCGACACCCAGTGAGTCCGAGAGCCTCACAGCTGCCCGCCTGGCTGGCTCCCATCAGGTCTGAAGCGCCCTCCCGACAGCCATGGTGGCCGCTTTGGTCTGTCCCAGGGAAACGAATGGCACTGGCAACCTGGGCCTCGGGCCTGTTTTCCTGAAGCCATGTGTACTTGGCTTCCGGACCCCGGCGCACCTGCCCCCAGAGGGCAGTGCACTCACTGCCAGGCTGATGGGCCTTAGAGAACGCCTTCCCAGCACCTACGTGCAATCAGGACCGCAGATGCCTCATGTCTGCCTGGGAGGCCTCCAAAGGGCCCAACACTCCTGGACGCGGCCCTGCAGGAGTTATTTGCTGTAGACCATCCCCCAGTGCCACTTATCACCGGAGAAAGCCGAGTCCAGAGGAGCTCAAACTTGGAAACACAATCTCTCTGGAGGACCAAGGCCTAGCGGGGCAGCCTGAATGGGATCCAACGTTAACCGTGACTAAGAGCCACCTGGGAGTGAGACAAGGGTCCTCTTGGTCTCCCTTGATGACTGGAGACGCCTGCCTCATCGTGTGATGTGAAGAACCACTGCTGGGCCTACCCTGAGCAGGGAGCAGGGAGTGGCACCGTCACGCTTGGTGCTGGAGCCGGCAAAGGGTGAGGAGCTTCTTCAGCTTCCGCTCTGCTCCACTCAGTGCTGGCCCCATCGGCCCCACCCAGGTGACAGAACTCTCCCCGGGAGCCCACGGTGCTGGGCGGAGGCAGCGGCCACTTGGGCTGTCAGCCCAGAGCTGGGTGGGCCTGGCCAGTGGGACTTTGTGGCCTCCCCACCCTCCGGATCTCCTCAGCAGGCAGGCAGTGACCCAACCCCGGCAGCTCCTGCGGCTCCACCATCCAGAGACAAGCTGACTTCCGATAATGACTTTATTTTAACATATTTAATTACAGACATAAAATAGCTGGGGAGGGGGGTGAGCCCCAGCCTAGCCCCACCATGGGGCTACAGGAGGGGAGGCGCAGGCGAGGCCCCCCTGCTGACCCTCTCTCTGGGGGTCTTCCTATGGCAGGGCACTATTGCTTGAGTGGGGGAGGAGCCATGCAAACGAGGGGGGCAGGGCAGCCACTCAGCCCCACCCCGCCCCGAGGACGGCCTCCCCACAGAATGCCCGGGCTGTGCTCCCAGCCCCAGCTGCTCCACCTCCTTCCTCTCTGTCCAGGGAGCAGACCCTCTGGCCAGCCCCTGACTCTGCCCCTACCCCCTCTGCAAACCTAAAGGGGAATAAATACAAACTTTACAAAGTAAAAGGGGGTCCAACGTTGCCCTGGGGCGGGGCCTGCTCTGCCCCTGGCCCAGGGCCGGGGTCCGGTGGGAGTGGAGGGGCCCTGGGGTGCAGGCCGCCCCGCCCATCGCCTCACATCATTCCTAGCTGCAGCAGCGTGTTGGCGTAGGCCATGGGCTTGACGTTGGGATGAGGCTGTGGGGCCGGGACAGGTGGGATGGACAGAAGTCACAACAGAGCCCCTGAGCACCCAGAGTACCCACCGGCGGAACCTATCCCCGTCCCTTACCAAGGTCTCAGCCTCTTTGTCCCCAGGCCAGGATGGGAGGGGCGGGGGCCCTGAGGGGTGACTCACCACTGCTGTGAACTGGTGGAACTGAGGCCGCAGGTCGGAGCCCTGGAGGTGGATGTAGGAGGCTTTGTTCCCCATCTGGTCGCTGCAGGGACAAGAGCAGAGTGCACAAGGTGGTCAGGGCTGGGCAGGGCTGGAGGGTTAAGGGAAGGAAGGGCTGGGCAAGAAGGGACAGAGAGAGGGAGAGGGAGGGACAGAGCCACGACAGACACAGATGAACAGAGAGACAGGGACGGGAAAGACAGGAATCCAAGGGGAAAGAATGGGAAGGGCAGGAGGATGAGGATGGGGAAAAGAGGGTGGGAGTCAGGGAAGCAGGAGCAGGGAGGGGCAGGGCGTAGCTCACAGAGGTGGATGCTCGCCAGACCCCACTAGGAATCTGACCACGCCTCCAGCTTTGCCCACCCGGAAACGCAGGGAACAGAGGAACGTGTCACACGGCACCATGGGAATGCAGTCAGCCTAGTCCAGGACACAGGTGACTCTACAGCAGGCCTATTCTTGTTGAAGAGGAATTTGTTGAAGAAGCCTATTCTTCAACAAATAAATGATGGGGGTGGGGAGAGACAGGGAACTCATAGGCAAAGAGACAGAAAATGTGGGCCTTGTTTGGGTCCTGTCTGGAAGAAGTCAGCTGGAAAAGACACTTAGGAGAGACCAGCAGAAAGAGAACTTGGCAGGATTCGGGTGAGGGCAAGGGATCAGCACTCCTTTGTGGGTGTGTGTGTTATGTTTTGAGATGGAGTCTTACTCCTGCCCAGGCTGGAGTACAGTGGTGCGATCTCAGCTCACTGCAACCTCCACCTCCCGGGTTCAAGCAATTCTCCTGCCTCAGCCTCCCGAGTAGCTGGGATTACAGGTGTGCACCACCACGCCTAGCTACTTTTTGTTTTCAACATGGTGACGGGGTTTCACCATGTTGGCCAGGCTGGTCTCGAACTCCTGACCTCAGGTCATCTGCCCGCTTCGGCCTTCCAAAGTGCTGGGATTATAGGCATGAGCCACCGTGACCAGCCAGCACTCCTTCTGTGAACATGATATTGTGGTTAAGAAAAAGACCCCGGCCGGGCGCGGTGGCTCACACCTGTAATCCCAGCACTTTGGGAGGCCGGGACAGGTGGATCACGAGGTCAGGAGATGGAGACCATCCTGGCTAACACGGTGAAACCCCGTCTCTACTAAAAATACAAAAATTAGCCGGGCGTGGTGGTGGGCGCCTGTAGTCCCAGCTACGTGGGAGGCTGAGGCAGGAGAATGGCGTGAACCCGGGAGGCGGAGCTTGCAGTGAGTGGAGATTGCGCCACTGCACTCCAGCCTGGGCAACTAAGCGAGACTCCGTCTCAAAAAAAAAAAGAAAAAGAAAAAGACCCTTTCCTTCTGAAACGTGCTGGGCAATCAATGGGAGGAAGGTAAAGTGCCCGGGGCTTGCTGTAACATGGGGCAGCTGGTCAGTGCCCACAGGCTGGCCCACTGGTGCTGCAGAGGTGGGTGATGCGCACGGGGGTGTTCGTCATGCTCTTTCATCTGCTCTGGCCTGTCTTTGACATGTTCCATCACAAAAAGGCAAAACAAAAACCAAAACAAAACCCATGGCTTGGCAGAGGCCTTGGGCAGGAAAGGCAAAGACATACCAGTAGTTGGGGGCAGAGAAGACGGTGACACAGCGGCCTCCGTGAGCCACCTCATAGCCCTCGGCCTTGACCTCGTGGCTGCGGATGATGTAGTCCAGGTTGTTCTCTTCCAAGAAGGCCTTGGTGACGTCAGGCCCAAACTGACAGCTCACGCCCCGCTTGCTGACTGAGCGCCCGTTCTGAGAGTGGGCAGATGGGAGAGACGGGGTTCAGGGTGACTGTCTGCCTCCACCTGCTGCCCACAGCCCACACCCGCCGGCCCTGCACCCCACCCAGACTCACCTGCGGCTGTGGATCTGACCAGAGCAGGTCACACATGGGACCTGGTGGGGAGTGAGGGAAACATTAGGAACCCGTCCACCTCCCCGGGGGTGGGTCACTCATAGGCCACCTCCTGGCCCGGCCAGGTGCCCACCCCACAGCACAGCCTGGGTGGGGACTGGGCAGGGGACATCCAGCACGGACATGGACATTCAGGACAGGTGACTGATTCTGAGCCACCCCCACCCGCTCTGCTGATCTGCCCTCTACACCCCACTCAACCCGCATGGCCCCGAAGCCGGACAGAGCTTTCAATGCCACTATTCAGATCAGGCCCTCTCCCTGCTCAAAGCCTTTGGTGGCTCCGCACTGCCCTAGGAACAAAGTCCTCACTGAGGCCTGTAAGGCGCCACAGGATTTGGGCCCAGTGAATCCCATGTCCAACGTCAGCCCTCAAAGCACAGCCCTGCCTGCTCGCCAACTTCTCCCTGCCTTGGGACCCCTCCTCGAGCCTGGAATATGCTCGCCAGATGCCTCTGCTTCTTGCAGTGTCAGCTCAAACCTCGCCTCCCTGGAGAGGCCTTCCCGACCACACGGAACTGGCGCACCCAATCCATGTCCTCTGCAGCACTTACAGTGTGCACCGGTGCGTGAACTCTCTGAGGTGTGCCCGCCACCAGCACAGGAGCCCCAAGACCTCCCCTCCCTCCAGGGGTCTGCAGCTGAACTCACAAATAAGGACAGGCGTGCTCAGGGGTCACCGTGCCCTCACCCCGCACCACGGTCATGACCGTGCTCGCCATCACAACCCCATGAAGGAGGTGCATTGACCCAAGTCACAGGTGAGGAAACTGAGGCTCAGACCCGCTGTTCCTTGCCAAGGGCACAAAGCCCATCCTCTGAGGCAGGGCCGGGTTGCCAGAGAGATCTGAGCCCAGGCTGCCCCTTTCTGCTGCAGACACCCGGCCCTACCCTGCTCACCTGAATCTGGGGGTTGTCGATTTCGCTCGATTTTCCGGATGTCATCCAGGGTGACGCCATCTTCACTGAACAGGCCTCCGTGCATGATCTGGGGAGTTGGGGGATGCCGCTGTGAGGGAAGGTGCCAGCCACCCATAGGCCCCGACTTCCTTCACCAGCACACATCTGCCCAGGCGTGGCTGGGCGGGGAACCCACACTCAGGGCTCACGCCATCCTCACCAGCACTTTGCCGTTGATGCACTGGGCCAACGGGAGCCACTCGAACACCTCGCTAAAGAGCTCGTACATCTGGGCTGTGTACTTGGCCTTCACCTCACCCTCGAAACCGTAGATCTGGTTCATGTTGTCTGTCTCGTGGTTGCCTGGAAAACACGGGGACAGAAGAGAAAGCTCAGCCTCCAGGTACATCAGTGTCCTCCAGCCAGGCACCCTCAAGGCCCAGAACTGTGCGTGTGTCTCCTGCCCCCGTGGGCTTCATGCCTCCCATTGTGGTGCCTTCCAGATTGGAGGTACCAAGGGTGGAATCTTGACAAAAAGTAGGTCCATGGCTAGGCACCGTGGCTCATGCCTATAATTCCAGCACTTTGGGAGGCCAAGGCAGAAGAACTGCTTGAGCCCAGCAATTTGAGACCAGCCTGGGCGATATACTGAAACCTCTCTACAAAACAATTTTAAAAATTAGCTGGGCATGGTGGTGCGTGCCTGTAGTGCCAGCTACTTGGGAGGCTGAGGCCAGAGGATCACCTGAGTCCATGAAGCGGAGGCTGCAGTGAGCTATGCTCATGCTACGGCACTCCAGCCTGGGCAACAGAGCAAGACCCTGTCTCAAAAACAAAAAGTAGGCCCATCCGCAGAGCATGTGCCCCAGCCCAGCCCACACTGAGCTCCACCCTTCCGTCTCGGACAGAAGCACCTGGCCGCCTCCTTCCCTTCCAGCGCTTGAGGGCAAGGAGAAGGCTGACCAGCCTCGCATCTGCTCAGACTCTGCTTGTCCAACTCCTTGGCCTGAGTGCTTGTTGCCTCCTGCAACGAGGCCCACAGTAGGGGGCTTCCTGAGCTATGGCCCTGTGCTGGGCACTGCTGCATGAACCCTGTGAGCCCAGGGACACAGGCATGCAGGCTTCGCCCCAGCCTATCACTCCCCTCCCAACTCACCCCGACCCTGCCATGGGCAGGGCCTCCCTGTGTGGCCCTCACATCCTGGTGAACTCCTCTTGTCTAATCTCATCTGGACACCAAGAAACCTATATTTTCAACACCCCTCGGAACCTCACCCACACCCAATGTCTCCTGAGTCTCACAGCCACATCCAAAGGGGAGCTCCTCAGCTCCTGGCCACGCCCTGCTCTACATCTCCCCATCTTTGTCATTGGCAGCCACAGTCCTCCAGATGCTCTGGCCAAAACCCTAGAGGGCCCCTTTTGTTCCCTCTTTGTCTCACACCTGTGTCTGTTCCTCCAGCAAATACACTGGGCTCTACTTCAAATTTCATTTTTTTTCCAAAGAGACAGGTTCTCGCTCTGTTCCCCACACTGGAGTGCAGTGGTGTGATCATGGCTCACTGCAGCCTCACACTCCTGGGCTCAAGCAATTCTCCCACTTTGGCCACCCAAGAAGCTGGGACTACAGGTGCACAGTGCCACCATGCCTGGCTTTTTTTTTTTTTTTTAAGACTGAGTCTCACTCTATCGCCCAGGATGGAGTACAGTGGCGCGATCTCAGCTCACTGCAACATGTGCCTCCCGGGTTCAAGCGATTCTCCTGCCTCAGCCTCCCAGGTAGCTGGGATTACAGGCGTGCGCCACCATGCCCGGCTAATTTTGTATTTTTAGTAGAGACAGGGTTTCACCACATTGGACAGGCTGGTCTTGAATTCCTGACCTCAGGTGATCCACTGCCTTGGCCTCCCAAAATGCTGGGATTACAGGCATGAGTCACCACACCCGGCCTTTTAAAAAAATGTTTATTAGAGACAAGGTCTCACTGTGTTGCCCAGGCTGGTCTCAAACTCCTGGGCTGAAGTGATCCTCCTACCTCGGCCTACCAAAGTTCTGGGATTACAGGTGTGAACCACCACACTCAGTTCCAGGCTCTATTCAATCAAGAGAACCCGAATCTGACACCAAGCCTGAATCTGAGGGGGCACAGCTGCCTTGTCAACAGTCTCTTTACTCCCACCCTCGGGCCCTGGTCTGTTCACTCCGTCACTCAGCTTGACTTTAGTGCCAGATTTAGGGCAACCCAGAAGCCTGTTTCATGTCCTTGTGCAAATTAGAAAAAGGGGCCCATCCTCAGACCCTTGTTTGCCATCTGCTGAAAAATGGTCAGAGTAAACATCCATTTCTACACTATCTATGATATAAATGCGTCCTTTGGTGTGATGTTATTGTGCAGTGCACAACATACTCAACCTTAAAAGGCCGCCCTGTGAATGATCTCCGAGTCCACAAAATAAATACAGCTGCAACTATTATCCTTGCAGAGTAAGTGCCCTACCCAGGACCCCACAATGAACCCAAACCTTGTCGCTTCCCAGCTCACCTCGAAGTAGGTGAAAGTGATCTGGGTACAGGAGCTTGAAGCCGAAAAGGGTGAGGATCACTTCTACAGAGAAGGAGCCTCGGTCCACAAAGTCACCATTAAATATCTGTCCTGCTAAGGAAAACATGGCAAGCGTGGAGGGGAAAAGGTGGGGTGGGGGGTAGTGGCAGAAGATGGGCCAGATGGGTTGCTCCTGCCTGGTCTCAAGGCTCCTGTCAGCACCTCCCAATCAGTGAGGACTTGGCAGGGTGCAAGGGGTCTGGGTTTCTAACCCTTTCCTCACTGTGGCTCCAGCCAGAGCTTGGTCGCTGAGCCTCAGTAGTATGGCACTGAGGACCCTGCCTCCTGTCTCCCAGGAAAGCCAGTGGTGGGGAGGTGCGGGGACCAGTCAGTCCACCTGCTTCAGCTCTCCTCAGACAGGCCTGAGCCACAGGGGAGATGGGACACAGACCCTCCCACCATTCACCAAGCAAATACCATAATATGTGGAGATACTTACACAGCATCGAGCGTGGGCCAGGCCCTGTTCTTAGCCTGTCCTCTCAGGAACTGCTGAGTAACAGGGTTGCACATATTATTATCCCCCTTTGCAAGTGGGGATACTGTGACACCAAGCAGTGAAGTAACCTGCTTCGCTCACACAGCTGGGAAGTGGCAAAGCCAGGATGGAACCCAGGTGTGGCCAGTGCCAGGTGCCATTCAAATGCGATCCTGAGGCAGACGAAGACAAGCCAGGGCCCAGAGAGACTGAGCTACCAGCTCAGGTCCTACAGCCGCTGGGTGCTGGCCCAGGCCTGTCGAGCCTGGAGCCTGGGGTGCGTGGCCAGCCTGCAGCTCCACCCACACCTTGGTGCCCCAGCATGGCCAGGCCTCTCCTTTCCAAGGTCACGTCTTTTCCCTGGCAGGGGCTCCTCCCCCTCTGCAGATCTGAGGCTGGGGCTGGGGGTGGAGGTGGGGAGAGGGTGGCTCTGCCGAGAAGGATACATAGGGGTTGGTCTCCGAGGGTAAACCGTTGAGCTCGAATATGTTGAGGAGGTCATAGAACTGGCCATGGGTGTCCCCGCATACTGTAATCTTCTCTGTCTGAAAGAAAAGAGGCCACCGGAGAGGGAGGGGCCCAGAGAGAGACGTGGGGAGGGGGCAGAGGTGAGGGGAAGGGTAAGAGTTCACAGTAGACCGAGAAGAATCATGCAAGAGACACAAGCAGGGGACACAAACGAAGAGGGTGGGACAGAGACCAAGAGGCCAGCAGAGAAATGGGATATTCAGGAGGAAAGGCACAGGGGTGGGGGTGTGAGGGAGACAGGGAGGTGGCTCCGTGAGTTCCTGAGCTCTGTGGCCCCTCCCCAGCCAGAGAGCCCACCCCCGCTGGCCCTCCCCCGACTGCCCCACAACGCGCACCTCTTTGAGTGTGGTTTCCACGAGCGTGCTCAGCTTGGAGAGGACCTCTTTGACCTGTACCAGAATCTGGAAGGCAGGGCAGACTCAGTGGGACCGGCTGCAGGGGCTGCTACCCAACCCAGCCCCGAGAGCCTGGACTGCCCAGGAGACGCTGCTGGGCTGAGGGCGAGGGAGAAGCAGGGAGAGAAGAAAAAGGGCAGGGGAGGCCTGGGGGAGCAGGGGCAGGTGGGGCCAGAGGCAGCTGCAGGCTTCTGTGGACTGTGCAGTGCTGAAGCATTGCGATTGTTTCATGTGAAAATCTGGTTCTTGAATTATCTGAAAACACTCAGCATCATGTGGAAATACATACATGAATCCAGATCGTAGAACATTTTATAAAAGAACTGGCCTAGACACAGCTCAATGTCACTGTCATAAAAGTCTCCCAAAAAAGAAGTGAGACTTTCCAGGTAAAAAGAGGTAAAAAGGCAGGTCATAGGCAACACTGGTGCTTTCAATGGACCCTGAATTTTTAAAAAGCAGCTACAAAGGATGTTTTAGGGAAAGCTGGGGAGAATTAAAATATTAACAGATGTCTAGAAATGCAGACGATTTATTTTTCACAGACTGGAGATGACCTTGACAATGACATGCATATCTGTCAATGTTTCCAGATTTTCCAGATGGCCCGTGGACTGTCTACCTTAGTATTATCGCATCAATGATGAATTTCTAAGGTAGGACAATTCAACTGTGGTCATACTAGAGGACGTCTTTGTTTTTGGGAGATCCAGGTTATTATGACTGCAACTTACTCTCAAATCGGTTAGGGGGAAAAAAAAAAAGGATACACATACAAATGCATATATAAGCAGACAGACACATTAAGTCAATGCATTAAAATGTTCACAAGTGGTGAATGTGGGTGAAGGGTGGATAGATGTTAACTGTACTGTTCTTTCAGCTCTCTGTAGGTTTGACAGTTTCCAAAATAAGCTGGGGAAAAGGTGTTAAGAAAATGCAAGAGGCACCCACTTCCAGTCAGAAGGCAGAAAAGCTACAAAAGACTGTCTCGCCCTAAAGATGAAAACAAGCCAAGCAAGCAACAAAATCAAATTTAAAGCCATCTGAGGGCTGGCAATGCAAAGGGACCTAAATTAATCAAAATGCAGACAGGATGAGCCTTTCCTTGGGGAAGGAGCCCACAGCTTTTATCCTGGTGCTTGGCAGGCGGGCGGGATGCCCTGGGGCTGGGCGTGAGGGGAAACGAGTGGAAGTTCATGACCATGTGGGGGCTGGCGTGACAGATGAGGACTCCAGGGAGCCCCAGAACAGCCCACCTCTGCCCCCGCCAACTCCCTCACGTGGGCTTCAGGGAAGGCTGGGTGCAAGGAAGTGAGGTGGAGAGAAACCTCCTGAGGTACAGAGCGGGGTGAGACTGGAGAGCAGCGAACACCCCAGCGGCTCCACAGCCTGACGGCAGGGCTGAATACCAGAGGTCTCCCACAGTTCCCAAAGCTGGCGACTTTAAAACATAAAGACATCCCTGGAATTCTGCCAGGGCTAAGATCCCAAGGTCTGCTGAAGGGAAACTCCTAATTCTACTCTGAACACATTTAAAGCCAGTGGTAAAGAAATTCCAACAAAACTTGCCCCTAAACTACAGATGAGATTCACACAGCCCCTCCCTCTTGTGGCTCAATAGAAGAAACGTGTGCCGTTTTCTTGTTTATTTGTTTTAAGACAGGGTCTCACTCTGTCACCCAGGCTGGAGTGCAGTAGCTCGATCACAGTTCACTGCAGCCTCAACCTCCCAAGCTCAGATGATCCTCCCCCCTCAGCCTCCCAAGTAGCCAGGACTAGAGGTGCCAACCACCATGCCTGGCTAGTTTTTGTATTTTTTTTTTTTTTTTTTGTAGAGATGGGGTTTCTCCAAGTTGCCCAGGCTGGTCTTGAACTCCTGGGCTCAAGCGATCTGCATGCCTTGGCCTCCCAAAGTGCTAGGATTACAGGCCTGAGCCACGGTGCCCAGCCTAGGTGTGCCATTTTCTGAGGAAAATCTTTATTTACCTCAGTCTCTAATGTTCTTTTATACAAAATGCCTGGCATACAATAAAATTATAAGACACATGATGAACTGGTAACAGAGCAGACTCAGAGATGAACCAGATGATGAAACTACCAGAGACTTTAATTAAGATAACCATGGTAAATGTGTGAAAGGACTTAGTGGAAAAGGTAGACAATATGCATGAACACATGAGACACAGAGAAGAAAAGTCTATTAAAAAAAAAAAAACAACTAAATGAAAATGCCACCAATAAAAAATACAACATAAGAAATAAATAAATAATTCATTTGTTGGGCTTAACAGCAGTTACAAAGAATCAGTGAACATAAGGACAACTGAAATTACCCAAACTGAAATACACAGAGGAAAAATCGTGCAAAGAATTTAAAAATTCAACTCATTAAAATCTAAGGAATAGTATCAAATGGTCTAAAAAGCATGTTATTAGCTTTCCAGACGGAGGAGAGCAGAAATGGGAAGAAACAGAAGAAGAGATAATGGCTAAAAACTTTCCAAAACTAATGAAAGATATTAACCCACAGATCAAAAAGGCTCAGTGAATACAGGATAGATGCAAAAAAAAAAAACCACATCAAAGCCAAACTACTAAATACCAAAGATAAAATCTTAAAACCAGTGAAGAAAAAAACAAACTATAAGGAACAAAGATATGAATGATTGTTGAGTTCTCACAGAAACAATGGAGGTCAAAAGGCAATGGAAAAAAAAAAACAAAACAGATTTAAAGCACTGAAAGAAACAATGTCAACCTAGAATTCTACATCCAGCAAAGATACCCCTAAAAATGAAGACAAAATAAAAACATTTTCAGGAAGGCCAAAGCTGAGAGAATTAGTCTACAGCAGATGTACACTGTAAGAAATGCTAAAAGTACTCAGGCAGAAGGGGCATGATACCAGATAGAAACCCATATATGCAAGAAGCAGCAAGGAGTAAGAGAAAGGGTAAATATAAAAGACATTTTCCGTGTATTCATAGATATGTTTCTTTAGAAGACTAGTGTCTATTTAAGGAAATGACAACAATGTATTTATAGCAGATGCATAAGCATGACAAGAGCACAAAGGCTGGGAGAAAATAAAAGGAATCACAATATTGTAAGATTCTTTTTTTTCTTTTGAGATGGAGTCTTGCTCTGTTGCCCAGGTTGGAGTGCAGTGGCATGATCTTGGCTCACTGCAACCTCCACTTCCTAGGTTCAAGTGATTCTCCTGCCTCAGCCTCCTGAGCAGCTGGGATTAAAAGTGCACGCCACCACGCCTGGCTAATTTTCGTATTTTTAGTGGAGACAGGGTTGTAGACATAGGGTTTTTGCCATGTTGGCCAGGCTGGTCTGGAACTCCTGACCCCAAGTGATTCACCTGCCTCGGCCTCCAAAACTGCTGGGATTATAGGCATGAGCCACTGCCTCAGGCCGTAAGATTCTTATACTGTCCATTAAGTATCATATTATTATTTGAAAGTAGAATAGGACAAGTTAAAGTTACACATTGTAATCTCTGGAGCAGCCTTTTTCATCCAGGGTTCCGGGAAACGATTACACCTCACAAAAAATATTTCCAGTGATACCTGCTCAGTTCTCCCAAGGAGAGCACACAGATTCACAGGAGAGAAGTTAATTCACTGCGGATACAACGGATGCCTAAGGGAGTTAGGGCTTAATTCTCTCAATAGAGCCTCAGCTGAGAAGGGCTGCTCTAGAGCAACCACTGCATACTCCACCCCTCACCACACACGTTCAAAAGTATAACAAAAAATTCAATAAAACAGATACAATGAAATGCTAAAAGATTCCTGATTCACACAAAAGAAAGTCAAAGAAGGAGAAATGGGAAAAAAAAACAAAAACGGGGCATATAGAAGAGAGATATCCAGACAGTAGATTGAAATGCAATCATATGATTGCTGATAGTTAAATATAAATGAACTACACACTACAATTAAAAGGTAAAGATTGGCCAGGAATGGTGGCTCACACCTGTAATCCCAGCAATTTAGGAGGCCGAGGCGGGTGGATTATCTGAGGTCAGGAGTTTGAGGCCAACCTGACCAACATGGTGAAACCCTGTCTCTATTAAAAATACAAAAATTAGGCCAGGCATGGTGGCTCACGCCTGTAATTCCAGCACTTTGGGAGGCTGAGGCGGGTGGATCATGAGGTCAAGAGATTGAGACCATCCTGGCCAACATGGTATAACCCCATCTCTACTAAAAATACAGAAGTTAGCTGGGCGTGGTGGCGCACACCTGTAGTCCCAGCTACTCGGGAGGCTGAGGCAGGAGAATCGCTTGGACCCGGGAGGCAGAGGTTGCAGTGAGCCAAGATCTTGCCATGCACTGCAACCTGGGCAACAACAGCAAAATTCCATCTCAAAAAAAAAAAAAAAAAAAAAAGTAAGACTGTCCAACTGGATAAAAAGGCAAGACCCAAGTATATGCTGTTTATAAGAAAAACATTTTAAACATAAAGATACCAATGGGTTAAATACAAAAGAGTAGAAAAGTTATAGCATGCAAATATTAAGTGTAAAAATCTGGTTTAACTATATTAATAGAAAACATGGATTTCAAGCCAAAAAGTACCAAAGTCACTTCATTATAATGAGTCAATTCATCAAGAAAGCATAACAATCCCAATTGTGTACCTAATAAAAATTTCAAAATACAGGAAGCAAAAACCTGAGAATTATAGGGAGAAATAGGCAAATCCACAAGTGCAGTCAGAGCTTTTAACAGCCCCCTCCCAATAAATGATTGAGCAATTAGAAAAAAATAGGCTATAAAAGATTTTTAACAGCAGTCTCAACCATCTTGAACTAATTGACATTTATAGAGCCCTATGACTAATGACTGCAAAATACACACTATTTTCCAGTACATACTGCAAGCGTGCCAAGACAGACCTAAAAATAGCCGCAATGGAATCATCCAGAGTGTGTTGTCTGACCAAATTAGAAATCAGTAACAGTAACATCTAGAAGTCCCCAAATATTTGGGAGTTAAACAATACCCTTCTCAATAACCTATGGATAAAATCAGAAACGATAAAGACAATTAGAAAAAAATTCTAACTCAATGATAACGAAAACATGACACATCAAAATTCATGGGATGCCGCTAACGCACTGCCTGGAAGGAAATTTAGTTTTAAGTGCTTTGCTTAGAAGAAAACAGGTAAAATTAACAGCATTAAAGTTCATCTTCAGAAGCCAGAAGAAAGCAAATTAAGCCTCAAGCATGCATGGAGAATAATGAATGAAAAAATCAATGAAACAAAAAAAAAATCAATAGAGAAATTCAACATGAACAATGAAAACATGTTCACAGAAAGACTTGTCCAAGAAAGTCCATAGCGGCTTATACTTATAAAAGCTACAAAGTAGAAATAACCCAATTGTCTCTCAAAAGACTGCATAAACAAACCATGGGCTGTTCAGACAATGGAGGACTTGAGCTACTGATACACACAACATCCATGTATGATTCCCACACACCGTGCCACATAAAAGAAGAGACACTAACTGTTCTAAGTCCATTTGACATTGACATGAAATTCAAAACCAGGCAGAATTAATTTACAGTGGTGAAAAATCAGATCAGTGGTTGTCCCTGGGACGGGAGTGAGGGCTGACTAGAAAGCGGTCAAAGGGAGTTTTCTGGCTGACGGAAATGTTCTGTAACTTGTTTGGGCAGTGGGCACATAAAACTATAAAAACTCAACTAACTGAACACTTAAGATTTGTGTATTTTATTGTGCATGAATTACACTTGAATTAAAAACAACCAGGAATGGGGACATTCCTCCTCCTCTCTTACCTTTAACAACGCGATCATCAACAGCTAACCCATACAGAGCACTAACCAGGTGCTAGGCACTATTTGAAGCAATGATGTGGATTACACACAGTTACTCCTTACCACAGCCCTTGGTGGAGACAATATGATTATCTCCACTGTACAGGGGAGGAAATCAAAGTACAGAGAAGTGAAGCCATCTGCCTACAGGCACACAGCTAGTATGTGGGAAGGCAGAGATTTGAACCCAGGCTGCCTGGCTCTCTAGGACCTATCAAGTGGCAGCTTCCCACATGGCCTGCACACTCCTGTAAGAGTCACCTGCCTGTCAATCTGACTCACAAGAAGTCCCGCATCCTCACAACCAACCCAGGAGGTGGTGGATCTCGACAGATCCCCAAAATTACGGTAAAGTCCCTGATAGGTCAGGGCAGGGGGCCTTGTCCAGATAGGACACCAGAGCCCGAGTCTCACTCAACCATTAACACCCTGTGGCCAGTTGCCCTCCTGGTTCGGAGGAGGGGATGGTCTCAGGACTAGGAGCCACCATCAGGTCCCAAACAGCCTGCAACAACCAGCAGCCACAGCTGCCCAAGAGCCTGGGATGAGAACTCCAAGCAACAGACTCCGCTGCTTCTTCACCTTTCACCCTGACCTCTCTGGCCCTTTGTCCCTGCATCTGTCAAACGGCACTGCCCGCCACCGCCCCAAGCTGCTGTGGGATGGATGAGATGAGATTCTGTGGGAAGCCCTTGGCACGGTGTCTGGCACACGACTCCTGCTCAGTGTTGGCTGTCGTGGCCGCCCTCCTCCTGTCGTTGCCGCCCTCCTCCTGTCGTTTTGCTCAGTGCCCATGGCTGGCAGCACTGTGATGCCACCCCAGGGTTCCCGGGTGCCCGGTACCTGACAGGTGCATTACCTGGTAGGCGCATTTCCGGTGCAGTTTTTTCTGGTCCTTGTACCACTGCATGAGCTCCTTCATGAAAGTGATTGTCACTTTGCCATCCTCAAGCTTGGGTCCGCTGTACTCATCCTCAATGGCTGGGGTGTGAACGAGGGGGGACACGAGAGTCAGTGACCACAGCCACTGTGAGTGGGGAAGAGGTCTCGCTCCTAGGGATGGGGCAAACCTGGCTCTGGACACACAGGTTGAGAGAGGGATGGAGCAAGTGAAGAGTCCCCTCCTGGGTCAGGTCTGGCTCAGAGGCCTCTTCCTGACCTCCCTCTCTACCTTCACCCACATCCTTTTACCCTATTTAGTTTTATGGCACTTAGCACTATTCATTTCGTGACTTGTTCATCATCTTATCTCCCTCCTAGAATATCAGCTCCATGAGGACAGGGAGGGCTTTGTTCATAGCTGTACCCCCAGTGCCTAGGACAGTGCCTGGCACATAGGAGATGCCAATAATCATCTGTGGGATGATCCAGAACAATCACTTGGATCCTCTCAGCACCTAGAGGTGAATCAGACACAGCCTGTGGGGCCTGTGCTACTACCCGGAGGGAGGGCCCGTGAACTGGCAGTGGGTCCACGGCTCCCCAGTCTTGCTCACTGGGAAACGTGAGGCCCAGCTTTGGGCTGTGGATGGAGTGCCCTGGAACACAGGCAGAGGAGTGACAGACAGCAGGCTGGGGACAGAACAAGGGGCCACCCCTGAGCCCACCCCCACCCCCAGGGAATGAAGAGGGCCCGCGTGGAATGTTCTGGGCTGGCGCATGGCGCGCCCGGGCCCGACTCACTCATGCTCTCGATGTCCAGTGAGTCCACCACGGAGCGCTTGTGCTCGTCGCCCGCGATGGCCCGCTCAAAGGCCTTCTGCTTCACGATCTTGTTGCACTCCTGGTATTTCATTTTGGCGTCCTTGTCGTGGGGCTTCACCTTGACAACCTGGTGGGGAGGGAAGGAGTGTGCACGCTGAGGCTGAGGTGGGGGTACAGCGGCTGCCCCCAGGCTGCCCAGCCCTGGGTTCCATGAACACGGAAGTCAGACCGCCTGGGCGCCAGGTGCTGACGGTGCAACCCTGGACATGTTTAACCTCTGAGCCTTGGTTTCTGCACCCCAAAACTGGGTACAGCAAAGCTGCCCGCACGGGTGCACTTCATCAATCTTAGCCAGGAGTGCGCTAAAATCAAACAACTGCCTGTCTGAGGGTTATGGGCTCAGGATGCCCTGTAAGAATCCCTGTGGGGCGAGCGGCGTCCCAAGCACACGTCCTGATGCTACTATCGTGACTACCAAGGCGGCAGGAGGATGAGAGGAAGGGCCCGGCCGGGTCTGCAGTCACAGGAACAGCCCAGACTCACGCAAAGGGCCAATGACTTGCTGGACGACATGGGCTCCCCAAGCCCAGGTTACCTCATCTCTAACACGGAGGTGACACAGGGCTCCCCTGCCAGGGCTGTGGGAAGGAATAAGTAACACACAAGGCCTGGCACGCAGCAGGGGCAGGCGGGCAGCAACACTGAGTGCTGTCACTTCCCTTGCTCACCCTCTGGGGAGGCCCGGGACAAAGGATTTCCCTGTTTTGTCCACTGAAGAGAGGAACTGAGGGTCACAGATCCCGGACACTGGGTTCAAATCCCAGCTCTGTAGGTCACGAGTTGGGTGACCTCAGGCAGGTGAGTCTGCTTCTGTGGCTCAGTTTCCCTCTGAGGTGGGACTGAGAACCGTATCTCCCTCAGAAGGCCACTGTGAGAGCTGCACGGGTGAATGTTTGTGAACTCTGCACAGTGGTGCCAGGTGAAAGGAAACTCCAGGTGGGCGCCCACTGCTCTTCACGGTCCCCGCTCTGGGGCTGCTGCGCTGATGACCAGATCAGACGATAGGCGTGGGGCGCTCGGCTTTGGGACAGAGCAAGTTCCCAGTGAAGGGAGCCCTATCCTCTCCCCTCTCCCCATCTTATTTACTCCAATTCCTGCAAACTCGGATCTTCTAACCTGAAAAGCAGACTGGATTTGGGAGCTGGATTCGGATCCTGGCTTTACTACTTACTTGCCGTGTGACTTTGGGCAAGTGACTTCACCTCTCTGAGTCTCAGTTTAGTCACGTAGACCCTGTCTGACCTGCCCACCAGCCTTAGCCTCCCCAGGAGCGGACCCCCACAGCTCCTGTGCCAGAGGACAGACTGGGAGGCCCCAGGGCCGGCCCTCAAGGAGCAGGGGTGGCCTCTGGTGGAAAGCCTGGCAGTGTGAGTCAGAAACTTCCACAGAGACACCCACTGACCCCTGCAGGCTGGTGTGACAGAGGTGAGGGGTGAGGTTCATCCACGCTGGGAACAGGTGTGTGTGTCAAGCGGGGTGAGAAGAGCCCATGCCTAGCAGGCCACGGCTTCCTCCCTGTCTGGGCAGGCCCAGGGCACCCTGCCAGGCAGCTCCACCTGGGCTGTGGGTGGGTGTAAGGCAGGGGAGGAAGACAGCACCAGGCAGCCCCTGGCATCCTTCCCAATGGGGAGCGGTTATGTGCGCACACCCGGCTGGTGTCCAAATCAGCATGTGTCCTGGCCCATGCAGCTCCTCCCACCCCTCTATACCTCCCAGCCAGACCACTCATGTCCCCAGCGTGCTGGCTCCGGGCCTTTGTGCAGGCTGCCCCTGCCCAGAGCACCTCATTTGCACCTCCACCTCCTCCTCCAGGTCTCAGCCCCCCTGTCCCCTCCTCTAGGAAGCCCCAGAGGCTGGGTCAGGCAACCTCTCTGGGCTCCCAAAGGGCCCTGGGCTCCCTTGTTCCAGCCATGAGCCCTGCTGGGAACCGGTCTGTCCACCGCACTGGAAGGGGGCCCTGTGAGGGCAGGGCTGAGGCTCAGCCATAGCTGTGCTTGCAGCAGTGAATGAATTTCCCTTCCCCCCTTTCTCCAAACAAATGAATGAGTGACTGAGCATTTCCTCCCCGCCAGTCTCCTATTCTCCTATTCTCCGGGGGCGGGCGGGCTAGGAAGGAAGATGAAGGCAAACAATGACAGTGCAGGCAGGAGAAAGGGAGTGGGAATAGCAACAGGGGCAGTGGAAGCAGTAATAATACACAGCTCACTTCTGGAGCACTGACTATGCGCCTAATACCGTGTGAGCAATTCACTTGCTCATTTATCCTCCCTGCACCTCTACATGGCAGTGTTTTCACAATCCTCATCTGACAGACAGAAAACCAAGGCCCGGGGAGGTGAAGTTGCCCACCCAGAAGCCAGGATTCCCTTCTCTTCCAGGCTAACCTGCGCCAAAGTCCAGGCTCCTGATTTCCGCCATGCACGCTGGGAGGGGCTCCCCTTCTGCCACCTCCCCTGCTTAGGCCTCAGGGCACACTGCACGCCCTCCAGGGAGGCAGCGTGGGGCAGTGGTTATGAGCGCGGGCTCTGGGACTATGCCTCCTGGGTCTGAATCCAGGCCTGCCAGGGCAGGCGGCCTCACGTCTCAAGCCTCCCTCAGTTTCTAGAAAGTAGGGGTGGTGCCAGCACCCCTTGGAGGGCTGTCGTGAGAACTTAATGCCAGGTGGCAGCAGGCAAGTGCTCATCCCAAGGCCCGCTGCTACTGCAGCTGCTGCGACGTGCAAGGTCTAGCTGGGACAGTGAAGATGCCCTGCTGGGCTCCTGATCCTAGGGAAGGTCATTCACTCCGGACCAGAGGGGACTCAGCTCCTGAAGGCCCACTGAGTCAGAACTTCACATGGAACTTTTCTTTTTTAAAGAAGTGGCATTTGGATTGTATCAAGGTCAGCATTCTGACTGTGATATTTATGTAGTTATGCCAGATACACCTTTAGGGAAAACTGGGATTTCTGCATTACTTCTTACAACTGCATGTGAATCCACAGTGCTAAGTAAACAAGTTGTTTCTAAAAGCATTACCTTCAGTGGGGAGTACTCATGGGTAATGATGTCTGGAGCTGGTGAAATGGTAACACAGGTTCACAATCCCGGAAGAAGCCCTGGGGGCTGTATGTATTTGGGGATTGGGAATTTTTTTGGATTTTAGTAAAATGATTTGGTGGATGGCTGGGTGCGGTGGCTCATGCCTATAATCCCAGCACTGTGGGAGGCTGAGATGGGAGGTCACTTGAGCTCAGGAGTTCAAGACCAGCCTGGACAACATAGTGAGTCCTGTCTCTAGAAAAAAAAAAAAGCCAGGTGTGGTGGTGCATGCCTGTAGTCCCAGCTACTTTGGGGGGCAGAGGCGGAAAGATTGCTTGAGCCCAGGTAAGGCCGCAGTGAGTCATGATGGTGCCATCACACTCCAGGCTGGGTAACACAGTGAGATTCTGTCTCCAAAAATCCCAAAACAAAACAAAACAAAAAAACCCCCACGATTTGGTGTACATGCTCTATCACAGGACACCCCCAGCAGGTCCAGGGCAGTACCTAGCAATCACACGCACACACGTGGCCATTTCTGCAGCAAAACCCCCAGACATGCCACTGGAACCAAGACCACCAGCAGCTTCTTCGTAGTTCAGGTCAGGTTTTGCCACTGAATGAGTTGCCCAAACTTAGCAGAACTGTTCTTCAGAACTGCTTGGGTTTTAAAACTGAGGGTGAGGGATGATAGAGCAGCATCAAATCCCACGTGGAGCGGACCCACAGTACAAGGTGTAACAGGGCATTCTGAGTATCTCCAACATGCAGACAATGAGCTGCAGCCCAGATGGGAGCCGTGCCCGCCTGAGGCATGCAGGCAGCTGGGGGAAGTCAGGTTTCCAGGGCAGGAAATGCTGCTGCCCAGGGACAGCCTGAAGCCTGACATGATGGTTTTCACCCTAGGGGGTTAGTTTCTGGTGAATGAGTCTGGCAAGTTACACCCAGCATTCTCTGGATAGTAAGTCAGAGGAGAGAGCACCAGGGTGCACTGCCTGAGCTAAGGGTGAGTGCTGTGCCAAGAAACTCGGACCCGCTGCGCATGCCCTGCTTACGGCCTGACTCTGGGACAGAGCTGCCAGCTCCTGGCTGTGCAACCTCAGTGGAGGGAACTACCCTCTGGGCCTTGGTTTCCTCACCTATAAACCAGGGATAAAGAAAGTCTCCATTGTGCAGGATAGCTGTGAAGATGAAATGAGTTATTACTGCATGAAGGTCACAACCTGGGCCATGGCGAGTGCTGGATTAAACAGCGGTTGTGACGATTCCTGTTACTTTCACAGATCCATGCTGCAGGTGTACAGGCACCAGTATCCGCTTGCAAGGCACCACGCATTTCTAACTGACTGTGCTGGACTCTGCTGTAAGGAACCCAAAGCCACAGAACAAAAACCAGGAGATCCCAGGAAGGGTTAGGGAGCGCAGAAGGAGTCCCCAGATCTGGCCTAGGTCTGCACCCAAGTTCCAAGCATAGACACGAAAGAAGAACACAGGTGTGTCTTCTGGAAAAGGACCCAATGAGGGGCAGATCCATCGTGCGAGTCAGGGTTCTTCAGAGAGACAGAACCAGTAAGAGAGAGACATACACACGGGCCAGGCGCGGTGACTCACGCCTGTAATCCCGGCACTTTGGGAGGCCGAGGCCGGTGGATCATGAGGTCAGGAGATCGAGACCATCCTGGTTAACTTGGTGAAACCCCATCTCTACTAAAAAAACACAAAAAAATTAGCCGGGCGTGGTGGCGGGCACCTGTAGTCCCCACTACTCGGGAGGCTCAGCAGGAGAATGGCGTGAACCCGGGAGGCGGAGCTTGCAGTGAGCTGAGATCGCGCCACTGCACTCCAGTCTGGGCCACAGAGCAAGAGACACATATACAGTCATGAGCTGTATAATGACGTTTCAGTCAACAATGGCCCGCATATACGAGTGTGGTCCCAGAAGATAAACATGCTGAAATAGTCCTACTGCCTAGTGACAGCGCAGCCATAGGAGTGTCTTAGCGCAACGCCATGACTCACACAAATCCATGATGAAAACAGAAGCCAAGCAAACCACCATGGACATTTTTCTGAAAACACCACCACCTTCTCAAGGGCCTCACGCAGGTCCTTCAGGGCTATCCAGAAGGCACTGTCACCCTAGATGACAGCTCCATGCGTATGACAGCCCCAGAGGACCTTCCAGTGGGACGGGGTGTGGAGGCGGGAGACAGTGATATTGATCTCCTGACCCTGTGCAGGCTGTGTAGGCTAATGTCTGTGTTCGTGTCTTCGTTTTTAACAAAAAAGTTTAAAAAGCAGAAGAAATTTTTTTTCAACAGAAAAAAGCTTACAGAACAAGGATATAAAGAAAGTATTTTTGTACAGCTGTACATCTGTGTTTTAAGTGTTATTACAACAAAGTGAGAAAGTTTTAAAAAATTAAAAAGTTTATAAAGTAAGTTACAGTAAACTAGGTTATTATTGAAGAACCAAAACTTTTAAAAAATAAATTTTAGTAGAATCTAGTGTACAGTGTTTATGAAGCCTACAGACATATATAGTACTGTCCTAACCTTACATTCACTCACCACTCACGCACTGACTCACCCAGAGAAATTTCCAGTCCTAGAAGCTCTATTCATGGTAAGCGCCCTCAACAGGTATACTAGATTTTATCTTTTTCTTTCTTTTTTTTCTTTTTTTTTTTTTTGAGACGGAATCTTGCTCTGTTGCCAGGCTGGAGTGCAACAGCTTGATCTTGGCTCACTGCAACCTCCGCCTCCCAACTTCAAGCAATTCTCCCGACTCAGCCTCCCAAGTAGCTGGGATTACAGGCGCCCGCCACCACGCCTGGTTAATTTTTGTATTTTTAGTAGAGATGGAATTTCACCATGCTGGCCAGGCCGGTCCTGAACTCCTGAACTTGTGATCTGCCTGCCTCAGACTCCCAAAGTGCTGGGATTACAGGCATGAGCCACCGTGTCCGGCCTATTTTATCTTTTTTTTTTTTTTTTTGAGACAGAGTCTCGCTGTGTTGCCCAGGCTGGACTGCAGGGGTGTGATCTTAGCTCACTGCAAGCTCTGCCTCCCAGGTTCATGCCATTCTCCTGCCTCAGCCTCCAGAGTAGCTGGGACTACAAGTGCTCGCCACCACGACTGGCTAATTTTTTGTATTTTTAGTAGAGACGGGGTTTCACCATGTTAGCCAGGATGGTCTTGATCTCCTGACCTTGTGATCCACCCACCTTGGCCTCCCAAAGTGCTGGGATTACAGGCATGAGCCACCGCGCCCGGCCCTATTTTATCCCCTTTCTACGTTCAGATGCACAAATACTTACCGTTGTGCTACAGCTGCCGCAGCACTCAGCACAGTAACATGCTGTACAGGCGTGTAGCCTAGGAGCACTCGGCCATGCCACCTAACCTAGGTGCGTACATAGTAAGCTGTAACATCCAGGTTTGTGTAAGCACACTCTATGGTGCTCACACAATGAAATCACCTAACAACACATTTCTCAAAAAGTACCCGTTGTTAAGCAATGCATGACTGTATCTATGCATATGGATATACACGAGAGGGTGTTTATTAGGAGAACTGCCTCACTCCACACTGTCTTACCAGTAAGTACAGAGTAGCTGCTTCATGCTCACTAGGTCCAATTAGTAAAATGCCATCAGTGTCGTGGACCAGTGTGATAGCTTGCAGAACGGAAGGGTGATCAATGTCTCCATGAAGGAATACTACCCTACCAAAAACAAGAGCAAAATAATGTCTTTTGTAGACTTGGATGGAGTTGGAGGCCATTATTCTACGTGAAATAACTCACTAATGGAAAATCAAACACCGTATGTTCTCACTTGTAAGTGGGAGCTAAGCTATGGGTATGCAAGGCATACAGAGTGGTATAATGGAAACTGGAGACTTAGAAGGGGCAGGGTGAGAGGGGGTGAGGGGTAAAAATCTATGTTCTGGGTGCAGTGTACGGTAGTTGGGTGATGGGTGCGCTAAAATCTCAGACTTTGCCACTACACAATTCATCCATGTCACTAAAACCACATGTACCCCAAAAGCTATTAAAACAAAAAGATAACAAATTAGTAACAATTTTCATTGACAATTTTTTAAAAAGCAAAGATCCCTGTGAGGGAAACTGTGACCCAGGGCTGAAGGACGGATATGTCCCTGAGGCAGGCAGCGAGGGTGTGGCGCTGGCCTTGCCAACTGAAAGCAAACTGCTTCTGGTGGGTCTCACAGACAGGGATGGAGAAAGGACACCTGCCACATCAGAAGCTGCACGGCAGGTCCAGGAGATGCATTCGCCCGCTCGAGCAATGAAACCGCACGGTACGGCAGCTGCAACTGAGGTCACCACCTGGTGAGCTCACGATAATCCCCTGCCATTCTCCAGGATGCAGCCGTCTTCTGCACAGGGCCGAACAGGAGAGCGGAGTGGGGATGTGGTAAAGATCTCCGCCCCTGCATCTTTCAAGTCTTTGATGGTGGCACTAATCTCTACAATCTCCAGGGATGTGCTGCTGTTTTTGATTTACAATTTTCCTAGGTAGAGGCAGCTCTATGGCTTCCATTTAGCCTTTCCCACCATAACGGCCCTTACTCCACAGCTTAGGGAACCCACATGGGGATTTTCCGCCAGCTGCTGAGTACACTTATTCCAATTGTGCAGCTGGAATGGGGGAAATAACCACAGGAGGGGTCCAGGGACCCACTCAACCCACTCAGAGTCAGACCTGAGCTAAAACTCCATTCATCACCAGGCCCCCTATAGGCCCTTACTCCGACTGGGGCGCAACAGTCAGATTATTCTAATGGTGGATTTGCTTCTGTGTTCCTGACAGACATCTTGCCTTCAGCAGCTGAGTGGTGACACTTGGCCCCTGCCTCTCCCGGATCTAATTGTTCCCACTGCATGTAAGTTTTACAACTGAGTGACTGTGGTTCCCACCGTAAGGTCCAGCCTGCAGAGAGGAGCAACCAGGGATGCCGGGGCCCCCTCACAAATCTGCTTCTCAAAGTATTGGTAAAAGGTGTGTTCTCTGGACCCTCCAGTGTGGGTGAGTGGGTTTTAAGTGACAAATCCACTCAAGTATTCCAATTTCCCTAAGCCTTTGAATCCCATCCCAAGAGAGACCGGGCATCTCCAGCTCACTCCTGGTGGGCCGCCTTCTGATCCCCGTTTCAGTCAAACCGTCAGCATCTTCTCAAACTCCCCGAGCTGCACCGTTCCATGCAGAATCTGGGGAAGAGGGTTGGGGAAGATGTCGGTGTGACTCTGCAGTTCTAGCCAAGGCAGAAATACGCTGGTACAGTAATTACAAATTTTATTTCTCTCTTTCTTTCCCCTACCTGATGTAGTGGTCCTAGCACCAAGGGTATATACCTACAGTGCTGGAAGCAGGGGTAATTCCTAAGAAACCGTAACTATGTTTTTAAACCTTCTGTCAGAATTCCCAAGGGCCGGATGGGAGTGGGTTGTGCTTTCACACCATCTGGCGAAACTGAGGCTAACAGTGAATGCGGTTATATAGCCTGGTGGTAAAAATAGCCCACTAGTCCCGCACCTATGTAACTGCACCCTATCCGAATGGAAGTGATCTGAGGGGAGACATGTGCTAGATTAGTGTGCTGCCTATGACCCAGACCCAGCACAGTGGCCAATTCCAATGTCCTTTCCAAAAGGGTGGGTATGAGAAAGAAAAATTATCTGGTGAGCCCCTTTAAATGATCAGACCCAGAGAGGCACTGGAATAAGACAGCAGTCTCATCCCACTCCTCACTTAAGAGAAGTACTCATCCCCTGAAGCCACGTGCTATGTGGACTCTAGACGGCCACGAACCACAGACACCGTAACTCACACCCTCTAGTTCCACAATAGATGGGCAATTATTAATCAATGTTATTTTTATAAACCAATGATATTTCCTGAAAAACATCTTTTATAATCATCCCTCTTCTCATTTGTCCTTTTTTTGCTTTAAAAGCTCAAGCAGGCCAGGCATGGTGCCTCACACCTGTAATCCTAGCACTTTGGGAGGCTGAGGCAGAAGTTCAGCAGTTTGAGATCAGCCTGCGGAACACAGCAAGACCCCATCTCTACAATAAAGAAAAAAATTAGCCAGGCATAGTGGCATGCACCTGCAGTCCCAGCTACTTGGGAGGCTGAGGTGGGAGGATCACTTGAGCCCAGGAATTTGAGGCTGCAGTGAGCAATGATGGCGCCACTGCACTCTAGCCTGGGTGACAGAGTGAGATTCTGTCTCTAAAAATAAACCCAAAACCCTCAAGCCTCTCCCTTGTTCTCCAGTGCTCTTCCCAAGGTAACCTGAAGTGTTTCCAGGGCTGCAATTCTCTCAACCTTGGCCCTAATAAACTCTATGTTAATTCTGCCTCAGTTTCCTCAGTTATGTCAATGTTTCCCGGCCCTGTGAGCAGGATTCAGAGGTACCCCCTCAGACACTGGGTGCCCCTGGACTCGATGCTCAGTACCAGAACAAACCCACTGTGTTCCTCCAACTCCACAGGTCTCACTGGGGGCAAAAGGGTGAGTACTCCTGAATCTGGACCCCCTCTCTTGTCAGGTGAGGTCTAGACTTTGAGTGGTTTTTTCTACCTCTCTTTTTCTAGAAGGAAGGTTTCCATCTTTGTCTACAAGCAAGGGACTGGGGTTTCAGGGGGAACAAAGGAAACTGCCTTTTCCACCGTTGCTTCACAGCAGGAGGCCCGGGTCATGGCACTGGCATTCTGGCACTGGTGGCTGCACTTCTGGGCTGAAATTACACGGCATGCTTTTTATTTTTTTATTTTTATTTTTTTTGAGACAGAGTCTTGCTCTGTCACCCAGGCTGGAGTGCAGTGGCCGGATCTCAGCTCACTGCAAGCTCCTCCTCTCGGGTTCACGCCATTCTCCTGCCTCAGCCTCCCGAGTAGCTGGATATGCGCCTGTAGATCCATGCACATCGGGACTAAGTCAGGAGATTGTTGAACCCGGGAAGGCAGAGATTGCAGTGAGCTGAGATTGCGCCACTGGTACTCCAGCCCTAAGGCGACAGAGCGAGACCCATCTCAAAAAAAAAAAAAAAAATTATTTTAC